CCCTACTGCCTCCAGATTCTCTTGTGTCAGCATCATTAATATACGCGCCCACATAGTGAGTTTCCGATAATCTAACACTGGTCTGATTTTTTGTTGTTGTTGTTTTCTTGGAAGACTACCATGAGCAGAATCAAACCTTTTGGTGGACCGAGTTCTTTCTCAGAGTACAGCAGTAGCCAGCCATTGTCCAACCAGGTCTAAAACTAGTGATGAAATTCTTCTCTAAAATCTCCGGGTATCGGGTACTCTGCTACTTTATTTCGCAACGTTGGTTTTTATTGACCACTTCTACGAGGCGACTCAAATTTTATTATGTTTGTGGAATTTCATCGTAATATACATTTTATTGATTGTAAGAGGCACACAAATAGGCACGCGGCCTACTTCAGCCTGATTCGCTTATTTGCACTCCTCCCAAATTCTTAATGCCGTCAAAACTTAATAAACTCCCGGTGGAAACTACATGACTCACAGTATGCTCAACATCGCCTACTTCGCAGTACTTAAGGGCCTTCCCATTCAAGGTTAGTACATTCACCATCTTTCTCCAAACAGATTCTTTCACAATAGTATGGGAATAGTCGTTATGCACCAATATCCTACATGTAAAGCTTTTATATGGACTTTTATTAGCGGGAAGCACCTTATTTGATAGTTATTGGGGAAAAGACCAGCGCTGATGTCTTCTCCCTTTTGTCGTTTGCCAGACAGTTACAATATGTGGGTCCAGTCTGTTACATTGGTAGTAATGTATTTGAGGCTTTCCACGTCTATCTTGGAGCCGACAGTCCTTTGCCACATGATTAGGTCCATTGCACCGATAACAAACAATTTTTTAAGTGCATCCTTTTAGTATTTTTTTTTAATCACAAAACGCAGGGCCTGCTGCTGCTGCTACAGGATCTTCCAGAGTGTGCCAGCAGCTGATAATGTGCCAGATCATCCGTCCTAATTTGTTCGTCGTTTTTGGCAAGATACAATCCACGAACTTTGTATATTCTTCAGTTCCTAATTTTCTAAGCATAGACGAAGCTTTTTTTGCTTCTGCCCAGCTTTGACAGTCGATGTAAAAGATGTCGCCAAATCTGTTTTACCCGATCAGGCAATCCTGCCATGAAGGCACACATCATCGCTTGGTTGGGAAGTCTACCGAATAACATCGCGAACATACGCAATTCAGCCAGATAAACATCTACACATTTATCCGAACGTAACCGCCGTGTTTTAAAATAGAACCGAAACGAATCCGTTGCAAATGCTGTATATAAATCCCCATTTTATACTTTCTGCATAAGACTTTTCTTTCCGTCACAATTGTTGATAGACAGAGAAGTCTCTACCAGTTATACGCAAAGGAATTGCACTCTATACTCACTTTATACTGGTTCGTCTACAAACAAATTCCACCATACAATCCATTCGACCACCCGTTGAATTCTGGGATAAATCGAAAATCAACCTTGCCATCCGCCATGTTGATTACAAAAAAAAAAAGGCCTTAATAGCTTGAAAGCAGAAATACCAAAACGAAACATCTTACGCTAGCAACAATGGTCTACAACTATCTCCGAATCACAAAAGATCACAACGATCCAACAGCCACGTGGCAAGACTCAGAAACAACACAAAATGGTTCTCAGTCACTTCGTTGTGCATTCACTCTCGTCTGCTTCTCATGTCACCCAAAGTTTTACATGACCCTATTGCCTTATAATCTTTTTCGAGGTTGGGTGGGATTTCGTTAACACTACACAATTCAACCCAAGCAAGGCAATAATGCCACTAGAACGCAACGGAATACATGGTTTGAAAGTGAAAAAGAAGAGGGGGACTGATAATGGCGGGGATAGAAGAAAACACAAACATTATAAATGGTTCAAGAAGGCAGTTGATGGTGATTGACGTTGCATTTGAATCTTTGAAGATTGTAGCTATTAGGGAAGAAAGAAATCGGAAGCGAGTTCCACGGGTGGGAAGTGCGAGAAAAGAATCTGCTAGAACAGAACTGACGGATGGATCTGTCAGTAAAACTGTGAGAAATAGTTCGCAATCTGGCTCGACGCAAGTTCGCTGGTCACTGTAGTTCTACTTGAAGTAGACTGCTCTACTGTTCAGGGTGCGTGCTGTTTGAGACAGTTGAATGACAGGTTGAATGAAAGCAATTATATAGTCGGGGCGCCCGGGAAAAAATGCTCATCAGAAAAATTACCATGAAAATATTTGCAAAAATCCAGAGAAAGTGATGGTCAGAATCAATTATATTACAAACCCTTCTTTAGATTTAGTCAAGAATTTCGTATTGTACACCAGACTAGATATGGCAACAATATTCAATGCACAGGTTAATGGTAGATTTATAAATGTGAAAGTTCTCCGAACAATTATCATTATGGATGACTTATTACTCATGACAATATTAACAGAGATAGTAATATCTCAGTAACAAACACTGACCCCGGAGAAAGACCAAGAAAAGCAGTACTATTGTGGTTGAATTGCAGGCAAGGAGATAAGACATTGACTGAAGAAAGCCAATGAATGTCACGCGTCGACTAGTGGGAAGAGAAAGTGTGGCTGAATGAACGGCGATCTAAGTAATAAATTGCTGTCTTTTATATATCAACATTTCTGCTAATTAACATTTCTGCTATATTAATGGTAAGCGCAAATTCAACAACATAGGATATGCAGATTACATCTTATTGGTGGCAGACACAGAAAGAAAACTACAGAAACTGTGAGTTAATGTAGCAAAAGGAAACCGAAAAAGAAAAGACTAACACGCGAAGACAGAATGTATTGCTATGAAAAAAAAGAGATGCCACAAGATGCGAGATACAAATTGGAAACGTTAAAATAGAGCAAGTAAAGAAATTTAACTGAAGTGAAGTGTTATTACAGAGATATGGAAAATGCAACACAGAAATCCGATGTCGCATTGGAATAGGGAAGGATGTCTTCCAAAATTTAAGTATATAATGAAGATGCTTTCCATTGTCTCAGTCCTGAGTTGTCCTGTCTGTGTTGAGCCGGCGGTTATGAGTCGGCGGTTATGAGTCAGCGGTGTTGAGCCGGCGGTGATGAGTCAGCGGTGTTTCGTCGGCGGTGTTGAGTTTTCCTGCACCCTTCTTACGTAAACCGTTTTCACTGATGTGAAGTGCTGTGATTATATTGAATCAGTTGCTAAGTCGACTTGCTAGGAAAATTGGTCCTAAATAGTTTTTTTCCCTCTTCAGGACCCATTTTAAACATTTATAAATCTACTATTTTTCCGTGCTTTAAATATTGCTGCCATATCTAGTCTGGTGATCCTGCGATATATCTGAAGATTCTGGACAACATAAGAAGAAGGGTCTGTAATGCTATCGTTCCGATCTTGGTATCTCGAGATTTATTAGTATGCTTAAGTTCATGAGGACTGGGTAAGCAACATAGAAAGCTCTTCTGAACAATTGCCATGGATATATTTATATAATAGACAAGTAAAAAGCCGGAAGAGAGTTCCATGGACTCGTAAGTTCGATTATAATACTTTTCTTCTCGCACGTCTCGTCTATGGAATACTCTTCCGGCTTTTTACTTTTCTGTCCCCTACAATCTTCAAATGTTTAAATCCAGCGTGTATAGCCATAGACTGTCTTCCTGGAAACTGTTCTCTTATTTCCATTTTACAGCATATGATGATTAAAGGACAGTAGTTTAATTTCAGATGTAATAATATGTAAATGCCATTTCTTGCCCCAGTTAACAACTAATGGCAGGAATGGTTAGTAACAAAGAACATTTAATTAAAAATGGGGATGAAAGCGGCATGAAATGATAGGAATACCCGAGGAAGCAAGATGGCTCCCGTCTTGAAGGAACAGGACAAATAAAATATTTTTTTAAAAAATAAGCTAGGACAAGGGGTTCAAGAAGGCAAAAGAAGACAATTGACGTCACATTTAAATTTTTGAACATTTTAGCTTTCAGGGAAGGTAGAAATCAGAAGAGAGTTACACAGGTAAGAAGTGCGAGAAAAGAAACTGCTAAAACAGTTGAAACTGTTACTAAAACGGTGAAACCTAGTTCCCAATCTGGGTCGACACAAGTTTGCTGGTCACTGCAGTCCTACTTGAAGTAGACTACTCCACTGTTCGGGATGAGTGCTGTTTTCAACCAGTGAACGCCGCTTAATTTCCTGCCATCGGGGCGCCAGGGAAAAAAAACTCACCAGAGCAGTTTCCATGAAAATATTTCTAGAAAAGCCACAGGAAAGCCACGTTATGACGTTAAAGAAAGTGACTGGTCAGAATCAATCATATTACAGACCCTTCTTTGGTGTGAAGTGCGGCAAAAGAGACTGATGATCGTTGAAATTGTATTCGGGAGTTATATTATTTTTTTAAATGAGATTCGGTCGAATACATAGCCATTAAAGGTCGAGGTAACAGACGAAAATGTTATGAATTGAATATAATATGAGAGGAAGAAAAGATAAGGAGAAAAGATGTGGATTGAACCTTAACTTGAAGAGGTTAATATTGTAGCGTTCGCAGAAGCACCCACACGGGAGACCTTTCTATAAAATGGCAGTCGTTAGTGAAAAATCTTGTTACAACTGCGTTTTGGCCTTGTTAGGGCCAGAAATAAAGAAACAAAGAGAGGAACTGAGTTAAACAAATATATTAATAGAAAGAGTAATACAAACATATACAAACGAAAGTGTTACAGCAAGAATGTTCGGTCCGACTGTCAGAGCTGACTGCTGGAAACATCCCTCTCCAAATGGCAGTACCTGCTCCTATTTATAGTTGGGTAAATTGCCAGAACAAACTGGAACCCGGATGAGACGATAATGATTTGACGCTGGGGAAGTAGCAAAGTACGCGAATGAAAGAGTGTAGCTCATCTGAATAATTGTCATTGAAATAGCGATCGCGTAGGAACTGGCTTGCAAAATGCATCCTGCATGAAAAAAGTGACAGGGTTAAATATAAGATTTCCCTCGCATGTCCGTCCTAGCGAAGGCCAGCGAGAGAGAGAGAGAGAGAGAGAGAGAGAGAGAGAGAGAGTATTGATTCTGTGATATCTCTTTAAAATCGGATGCTGCATTCTACCAGACTTGATCGTAGTATTTCCCAACCATACGAAAAGCATAATATATCGAGCCACGTGCATTTGCCCCCAGAAGGACGCTTAATTAAGAGAAGATAAATATAGAGGAGATGTAGTTAAGTAATTCCGGACTAACGAACTATGAAAAATAACCTTTGCCCGGCTTCTACTCTCTATTTAAATTAATTAGAGCAAGCATTTGCCTAGAGCGCCACCACTGGAAGAAGCCATTAATCAAAATAATGAGCCCATATGGAGAGATCGCCTCCGGCAATAGACAATATCATACTGGTTTGGGTTACAATGAAGACTTGCAAAGCTATTTAGCGAACATCCATGTCCATTTTCCGCCTCTTTTAAATATCACAATTTAGATTGTACATAGATTATATTAAGGTATAAGAGAAGCGGGGAAATGCTGAAGGAAAAGAGAGAAAGATGAAGGGAAAGCTAAAGAAAATCGGTTTGAAACGGTGGAAGATGTTTTAAGAGAAATACTGTACTGGGTAAAAAGTATAAGTCCAAGAAAGGGTTGGAAAACTGGTGTTTGGAATCTTCCTGTTTAACATCTGTTTGAATGATTCGAGAATATATTCCAGGGTCGGACATTAACAGCTGCCGCTTGGCTGACGTGTGAATAAATGAGAATATTTGATGGATGGGCGAAGTGGGATAGACGAAGAAATAAGAAGGAGAATGAAAAAGAAAAGAAAGAAAGAAGGATGTAAAAGCGAGTGAAGTGAGAAGGAAGGTGATTGTTAAATAGGAATAACTGAAAGTGACAAATAATCGGGAGGGCAAGTAGAAAGGAGAAAAGGAAAAAAAACGAGAAGAAGTGGGGGGGATTGTAAATAGGATAGAAGAGAATAAGAAAAGTTAAATAAAAGAGAGGGTCGACTAAAACTTTAACATTTGGAAAGAGAAGAAAGCCAATAAGAGATAGAGAAGTACGCACGAACACAGAAGAATCACAGAAGAGCTGAAATAAAAGAGAAAAAGCAGTAAATATTATGGAGTCATAAGTAATTTCCGTATTTTGGAATCAATTGTAATGATGGAGTATTGCTGCCATATATGGTCTGGTGCCCCCTCTGTTTGCCTCGGGGTTCTTGATAGGCTCCAGAGGCGGATATGCAATGTAGTTGGCCCTGTTCTGGCATCTCGTCTACAGTCACTTTCTTACAGACACGCTGTCGCCTCCCTCTGTCTGTTCTACAAATACTTTCATGGAAATTGCTTCGAGGAGCTGCATTCGCTGGTTCCCAGACGTCATGATTTCAAGCGCCATACGAGGCTGGCATCCCGCTCTCACCCCTTCACTGTCGAAACTCCTAAAGGTAGCCGTCTCTTCTACTCCAATAGCTTCATGTCTCGCACCTCTCACCTGTGGAACTCCCTTCCCTATTCCAGTTTCCCTGAGAGCTATAATCTCCAGCTATTCAAGTGTAATGTCAATCGACATCTCCAGTTGCCTTGATCTATCCACTACCCTTCTCCTCATCCTTTCTTCTATCACTCCTATCTGATCTTGCTCTAAATTTTCTGTAACCTCTTGAGTCCTAGTGGCTCCCCGCCTTGCTTGGGGTGAAATGCTTAAAAAAAAGATTTAACATCCTAACTACTACTGATATACGGGAGTTATGAATACACTTAGAGCACGCTAACATACCATTTCCAACGTAGAAGACAGTGGATTTGCAATGTTAAATCGCCACAACAGACTGTAAAAACTAGTCTTCATGGAAGAAAGATAAATTTGTGCGTGGATTTTGTTTGTCGAGATTTCATTCTGTTAGAGTCCGTAAAACGCTAATTAAAGACAAATGCACATCTATAAACATGGCAGCTGAAACATGTCCGTAAGTGTTTGATCGAAAAATGCCCAGTGCTCGCCTATTGGAAAAAATGGTTTTCGCTTCCATAACATCGCAATTGCAGCATAGAGCAAGAACAACACTTGAAAATATTCTGGAACTCGGCTGGTTTGTTCTACCTCGATGCACCATTTTCATTTGACCTTCTTCCAATCGATTAGTTACTCCTTTTATCGCTGAAAAACGCTTTTAGGGGAAAATTTTCTCTAATGTGAACCTGCTTCAAGAGTTCATCGAAAATCTTTCACACGAAAACCTGACTAAGATTTCTTATATGTAACGCAGAGATTCGTGATAAGTGCCGACAAGTCATTGCAATTATGGTGAATATATAAATGATTAAAATGTAATTGTAATTCATTTCTTGAAGAATCAAGAACAAAGGAAATTACTTGTAACTCAACCTAATATTAAAGAAAGGTAAGGATGTTACGAAAAGAAATAAATAGAGTGAAATGTAGCAGAATAGAAAGAACAAAAAATACATATAAATATGAAATACAGCGACGAAAAAGTAGATGAGAAAGAAAAAAAGAAATTATCAAACATAGAGTAAAAAAATAATTCAAAAATCGAAGAGGCGAAGAGATAAAAAGGAGAATGAGAACGAAAAAAAAAAGAGAAAAAGTAAAAAGAGGATGAAGGAAAAGGTAAACAAAGAAACAGAAAAAAAAATGAAAATGGAAAGGAGGTTAAAGAAAAATCGAAAATGCAAAAGAGAAAAAAGAAAAAAGAGAAAAGGATAAAGAGAAAAATCCTGAGAAAGGAAATGGAGGAAGAGAAAAATAAGAAATGTAAAAAGAGAAAGACAATGTAACAAATGAAGGAATAATTCAGAAATGGAAGACACGAAAAATAGTCAAAAAAAAAAGAAAAAGAAAAAGAGCAAAAAGAAAAGAGAAAACGAATAAAATGAAAACTAGAAAAACTAAAAAAAAAAAGTAGAGAAAAAGAGAGAAACGGGTGAAGTGAAAAAGAAAAGAAGAGAATGAATAAAAAGAGAAAATGAAAAACAGAAAAAAGAAAGAGGCGGAAAAAGAAACAAGTAAAATGGAAGAAAAGAAAAAGAAATGAAAAACAAAGAAAGGAAAAGGAAATTAACGTGTAAGAAGAGAGATAAACGTACATAAGAAAAATAGAGGACAAAGCTGTAAAAGACAATAGTCAGAAAGAAATGAATGAGTGAATTTTGAATAAAAAATACGACCAACAATGAAGTACAGTGTAACCCGGATATAAGGGAGCCGGGTATAAGAGAAACCCGGATATAAGAGAGATTTTCTCTGGTCCCAAACTAGAGCCTGTGTTAATGTAAACAAAATAGACCAAACTCGGATATAAGAGAAACCCGGATATAAGAGACTTCTTCTCCGGTCCCGACAGCTCTCTTATATCCGGGTTACACTGTATATAAAAGATCGAACAAGAGTAAAAACAGAGCCAATTGGAAAGAAGATGAAGAAGGAAATGAAGTAGGAGATGATGATGATGATGATGACGATGATGGCGATGATATAAAGCTTTAAAAAACAGAGCCAAACGATAATGAGGAGATATTTTTATTTAATTAAAAAGAAAAAAGAAGAATCGAAAAGGAGAGAAAAAGCTGTAATACGAAAGACAAGACAGAATGTAGCATTTAGTAAAAGGAGAAGAAAAAAACAGAAAGGTACGAGGAAGAAAGAAATCACAGTTAATAATGAGTGAAAAAGTAAGAGACAAAAATGGAATCCAGGACAAATAACGGAGAGAAAAGCTAAGCTGAAGAAGAAATTACTTGTATATAGTTGCGTGCATTTATTTTTAATCAAATCACCACAAGCATGGCGATAATGCCACAAAGATGTAAGAGGTTACTGGTAGAGCATGCGAAAACTTTAGACGGAACGGGAAACCCAATCTTAATCAAGAAACAAGGGATAAACCTCTTGTCCTATAAAAAAAAAAAAAAAAAACAGTCAATAGTGTGGACCGGATGATAGACAAATTATTAACAGAGAGTAGCGAAACACACCAGTAATCTTGTAGTCATCAAACTATTGTCGTGTGTAGAACAAAAACTAATTATTGAGAAAATAGACAAACAAAAGTGTCAGGCATATATATCTATTCTATCGGAAACGTCTTTGATGCGGAGTAAATTAAAGATATAAAAGTCCTCGTAAATAATGAATGAAAACTTGAACTTACTCTGCTAGAGTCTCAAAGAGCGCGTTAGGTGTACTGCCTACGCCATGTTGCATGTTTTGCGTTCTGTCATGATGTCGGCCTGAAGGGATCTAGCCATTCAAGTCCACAAGATGTCTTTCCCAAAAGCTAAAATGAGGTTACTTTGGCAGATAGGGTTTTAACGCATGCGTGTCTGGAAGAAAGTGTAACGTTTGCTACAGGTGGAAGAAGAACCTGAATGAATTATTATGAGTGTTCAGCGGACAGAAGAAAATTTTCAAATGGATGACACGAAGAAAACATGGGGCACGGGAAGTGAAGGAGAATGAGAAAAAAAAAAAAAGGAAAAATGAAGAGACAGAAAAATTTTAAGAGAGCCAAACAATAATAATTACAATTATTTATACGTACATAACGGTATTCTTTTTTGTTACTAATCCTGGGTATAACAATAAACTTCACCCGGCAGCAAGGTCACTGTCTGGGAGAGAGGAGGGTTTCCGAGCATGTAACCAAATTTTAATTGTTCTTGCTCCCTGGCCCACCCTTATTCGGGGTGGTAGTACCTGATATGGCCCTAGCTATAGACAAATAGATAATCCCTAAACAAAACAAAACAAAAAAAATCTCTATGAAAGTAACGAAAATACATTTTTTTATAGTAAAAACACCAGTAATACATATTTATACATAAAAAAAAATTAAAATTGAAAAAAAATATGACAAACAAGCAAGTAGGAAGCAACCAAAGATCAATCAGAGGAAAATAAATCGGATGGAGAAAACAAGTAAATCCAAGAAAACAAGAAAGAGGGTGCAATGGGGTAGTGGGTTGCGGCTCGGATGAAAGAATCGGAGAACCGAGTTCGAATTGCAAATGGATTCATCGGATTCACTAACGTGAAAGGCAACTCTTCTCTCCCCAAGGTAAACCGTATGACAAACTGGGTTTGTATAGCCTTGTGTGGCAACTGGCATAGGAGAATGAATACTCTTAATTCAAAACCTGTAGCTCTAGCGAAGCACATACTATGTAGCTAAGGACAGGATCGTTCAGATTGGCACGATAATCCCGACTACGGCCGACTTCTGAAAGTATTAAATAGGATAAATGAATGAGATTATTTTCAGAACTTAAAGGAACGATGATGAATGATCTATAGAAGGTTGAAATTCATTTAAGAAGAAAGAAAAGAAGGATAGAATAGCATAAACTAAAAACAAAAAACGAAAACAAAAAAGAATACGTAAGCAGAGTTGAAAATATTTGAAAAAGTTTACGTAGAATGAAAGAAAGAACGTAATTGGAAAAGATAAATAGAAATAGATAGATGAGACAATGTGAGAATTAACGAGAACAAGAAATTGAAACATTATCAGACAAAAAAAATTATGTCGCCTCGCACAATGAAATTCTTCTGGAACAACCACTGTTCTACAGGATGTTTAGTAAAAAAGCGGAAAATTTATTATCACTGTTTTATCTTTTAGGGATAATTGACCTTGAATAATCTTGAATAAATTTCTTGTATATTCATGACCTTGAATAATCATTCGACTCTCGCGTAATTACTTAACTCTGATTGGTTCTTTTATGATTGATTAATTTCTGCTTGATCTTGTGATTCGTCATTTAATGCTTCTTTCTTTCATTCTGTCCTTCTCGTGTGGCTAAACAACTCAAGGATTTTTAAGCGTCAAGTTATCGTCCTTTTCAAAGAAGAACATCCGACGTGGGGATTGACGAAATGTGAAGAAATTCTTCCTGAATTTTTCAGTCACATCCGTCGTCACCAGTTTTCAACGGTTGTCTCCCATCTTTCTGAATTTACCGCATGTTTACTGGGCACCCTATAGATCTTTTGTTGCATGAATGCTTTCTCTATCCTTGCATCTACTTTGTTTCTTGTCTTCATCAACGACCTTTCTGATGTCCTTAGTTCCCGATGCTAACCATGCTGATGACACAAAAATTTACACCGGTTTAAAAAAAAAAAAAAAAACACACGTCCGACTGAAGTTAAATAGGCAGCTGATTTCGAATCTAGCCTTCATTGGATTGTAAAATTTAACACTTTCAAAAGGAAACCGATGATTTTCAGTCATCTTAAGCAAATATCTGTTGGCCTCCATCCCCATAGATGGTGCAAACCCCCAGGAGAGAAATTCAATGCGCCCACTCAAACTCATGATTTTTTTACTGATATTTAGTGGAATTATTATATTGAATCAATTGCTAGGTCTACTGTGCGGTAAGTTGGTTCATTGTGCCATGATCAGCAATAGTTTCTTCAACTTGCGTATTCATATGTCTACCATTCGTCCCTGCATTGAATATTGTTGCCCTATCTGTTCTACTCAGATATGGTAACTGTTGTGGAGTAGCTAAACACCCCCACAAGATGGACTGGTCTCAGGCTATTTAAACAGCACTCTCTCTTATTGAGTGGAAGGAGTTAACGACTGCAGTTAACTCTGCTTGTCGACTCTCTGCCTCCAGCCGGAGAGGAAGCCAGACGAGGCTATGCCGAAGGGCACAGTTTCGTCTGAGGAGGTAGACAACTAACCGACTCCGAGTATATGGCATCTACGTGGAATTTTTGCGCAAGCCTACGGGCTCGGAACGACTCACGTCACACCATACCCCGCCTTGTGGGGAGGTCTCAGGTAAAAACCCAGGATTTAAAGATTAACTGTTTATTATATTAGTCTGTGTTCTCAACCGTGTACCATATTATTCTCCGGAATAAACTACTACTTATTTTACTATTTACGACATAACAATACACCTGCAATATATCTCGAGATTCTTGACAAAATCCAGCGAAGAATCTGCGATGTTATCTGTCCTGACCTAGCACCCCGGCTTCAGTCTTTTCCCCACTGCCGTAACGTAGTTTCCTGTTCTTTTTCTATAAATATTTCAAAGGCAAGTCCACTTCATGAATTTAAGTTGCGTTCTAGATTAACATCAACGTTGCACTATTTTACTATTGAAATAACTAGATGTAACCGTTCGTTCTATTCTAATAGTTGTTTTTTCTTTGACTTCTTAACTGTGGAAATCTATTGTGTCGTTCTGCTTTCATTAGAAAAGATCAGATTAGACAAAAAAGAAAGAAAGGATGAATGTTGGAAGAAAAAAAAATAAAGAAAGAAAAAAAAAGAGGAAAATAATGTCAGGTTAAGAAGAATACAAAGGAGAATAAAGCCTGTAGATCAGAATGTAGGAGAATATCGCAGAAAATAAAAGGGACAGAAAACAGAAACAAAAAGTCAAAATTAAGTTCAAAGAAAAAAAATTAAAGAAATCTAGATAAAAATAGCTCAGAAAAAAGAAGACAAAGTAACACAGAAAAAAACCAAATTAAAGATGCGACTAAAATCTGTTACCATCAATTTTTATTCGTTCAATCTATTCAACTTTTAGATTAGAATTTTCTTGTAGTTTTCATCCAAAAACGTCTTTATGGAACAATCTTGAAGGCTATGACATTAATATCCTTTTTTCGATTCCTCACTGTGTAATCACTTATAAGCATTAGATTCTCTTTATATCATATATATATATATATATATATATATATATATATATATATATATATATATGTAATAAATATGTGTACATGTGTGAAAAAATATGTATATATATAGATATATATATATATATATATATATATATATATATATATATATATATATATATATATGTGTGTGTGTGTGTGTGTGTGTGTGTAATATATTATATGCGCAGTACTTATTAGAAATTGCTCAATATCAGAGATAGAGCTAAAAGCGTCAAACCCAAGGTCACAAACTCACATCAATCCAACCAAATATATATATATATATATATATATATATATATATATATATATATATATATATATTCCTTACTGTATAATCACTTATAAGCATTAGATTCTACGGTTACGTAAGAGGACCAAGCGAAAGAAGAAAAGAATTCAAGTTAGGTGTTAAAATATGCAGAAACCTAAACTAATGTTTAAATCGAACATGACAGACGCGAACGAATTCGTGACAGGATGAACGATGGAGAAAACAAAAATCAATTTATTTCCTTTTGTAAAACTCTCTAAAACTCTGAACTAACTCGAACTCCACAATCGGTGAATCGTTTGAGTCGATCTATCAAAGCTATCTTCTCTCACTGCTGATATCGACTGATAACGAGTGAGACCCTTGTAAAAAATGTTTATTGGTTACTTTTCTGTATGAGATCTTTCTAAATGTTAAAAAAAAGGAGTCGATCGTAGTCGGGATGATCGAAATACGAAGGCTTAGCTGCATGTGCTCTCAGGGCTACATACAGCTTTGAATTTTGATTTTTCCTTTTACCACACCGGTTGCCACCCATGTTACAGTTTTTTGTGTATATACATATGTAACTAGTGAGTTAGTCAAAATGACTTAACTCCCTTTATAGTCTACCAATAGAAGGTTAACCAATCAGAAGCCGCAGAACATTGTATCCGTCGTGTAGAAAGGCGGCCATTTTTTGTTTACCCTACCCGAATGACCAGTGCCAACTTGACAAAAGAAGTACAACGTTCTGCTCCTTAGCTGCGATATCCACTGCTAACCTGAATTACGCTTTCCTACTGTCTCCGAAATATTCACTGCTAACCTCTGGATTCTATACTCGAAGACGACCGTCAAAATGTCTAACAACCCAAAGCTATAGAACCCAGATTACCCTATTATTTACATATATCCGTCTGGAGTAGATTTGGATTTATACCTTTCCCCAGGGTTTTATAGCGAGTAAGTAAAATAACGAATCCGATGGAATTCGAACTCGGCACTCCCATATCACGTTCTGACACAACGCACAACACATCACATGTCAAATGGAACCGTAATCGTAAGACTGACAGAGTGCACCTCCTGGAGCCCATTTTACTACAGGTAACGATTGCGACTGAGGGGAAAAAAAAAAACCTGTTTTTCTCAACATATTATATAACCTCAGTCATCCGCTTCTCAACTTCTACCCTACGACCACGTTTGATTATTGTTCGTGTTCGTTTGAACAATAGCGGGGGCAAAAGTCCGCTGTACTGTCTAAGACGATATATCAACACGGGGAGAAAAGTTTCAAACCAGTCCGTTTCCACATGTCGCCTTGGTGAAAAAAAAAGAAAAAAAAATGAACAGATATCTTTACTGTTGGATCATTTCATCTCGCATTGTCTTCGAGTACGATAGTCTTCTTTAAGACATCTTCGCTCTTTCCACCCGCTTCTGTCACGACCGACTAACGCATCACTGGACCAGCGAGAACTCCATCTATGTTTGACACTATATTTTAAAATCAAATGGTGATTGTTCGTATCTAGTAAGACGCTTTGGTGAATTTCATACCTCCCGACCTAGTACCCAGGGATACCGGCAGTATTATTCCTTGATTCATCTATTTAATTATCTATTTATATATATCCCCTTTTCTGATGGAGAGAGGTTAGCTGCTTTAAAACTCTCATATCTCGATTTTTCTAGAGTCGCAGTTGGGTGTCATAAAACCGATAGTCGCCCCAAGTGAATTTAAAAACATTTACAATTCACTGATTATGCGGTTGTCCTAATCAATAGAGCAAAGACCCAATGAGCCACAATTTCTCGAATGGCTGATAAAATGCCAAACATGACGTCAGACACGATTGTTGACCCGTTAGTCTAGACACATTGATTAACCACAATAAACCACCTCCTTAAATAATCGCCCATAACGCATGCATTATCACATAATAGTTGTCTTATATATGAATTTATATGTTATGGTATGTCAATTTTGTTGCCTTTCTAATGATATATTAATGATAGTTTCCTTAATTATCACACAATTCATATAACATGACTTTTTGACTAATATTACTTATAGTATTGTCTTATACATTTCTCAACAAATTAATATATATATATATATATATGTTGTGTTTTTTTCATTAAACCCCAAGTGTTTTAACCCTGTGTGTTCTCACTTTCCGTTGCCTTTTTGGTTTAGTTATATATATATATATATATATATATATATATATATATATATATATATTTTTTTTTAAACAAATTATTATAAAACATAAGTTATTTTATGATTGATCATTCACATGTCTTCACAAATCAGGATTAAAATTGTAGATTAAAGGACCGGATATAAAATTAGCTAAAAGGAATTTCAAAATAGAAATAAATTGAATATATATATTTCTTTTTTGAAGTAATTTTCTGTTGTAAACTTAATAGATTAAATTTTGATTTTGAAATTATACTTTTTTTAATTTTAATATTAAATTTTATCATATAATTTAGTAATTATTGGTTAGAATAAATTCAAATAAAGAAACCCATTTTTT